TTAAGCAGGAAGAAATGGAAGGCAGATGATTGCCGGACATGAAGCAAAGCTGAAAGGATGGACCCCAAAAAGAGTCTGTGAAGGGGAAACGGTAGAAAGCCCGGGTGGTCCTGATACGTGTAGTGTGTGTGGTTTATGGGATTCATGAAGTGATCTTACATGAGGTCATTCCCCTGATTTGTTGCTTTTTCTACGTGGAAAACTTGAAACAATTCTTGACGGGGGAAACTTTTTGCTTTTTCATATTTTAGTATCAGAGCCTTTTCTGCATGGGAAAGAAGGACATTTCAAACTGGATTTAGTTAAACGCTTGCAAACCTTTTTCTAATAGTTTTAGGCTGACTCGGAAAAGCTGATTTTAACCAATAAAGCTTTTTACACTGTTTAAATCTATTACCATCAGACTCGATTAAACTGGTTGCATTTTCCTTATGTAAACAAAGCCCCTGTAATGATAGGTGTGACCCCTCTGACTGCTCTGATTTTTTTCTGGAGAATTGCTGTGGGTCTTGAAAAACTTTGTGAGCTCTTAACTTTGTTAAAGAGTTGAATTGGCCTTGATTGTTTGAAGAAATCTGAGGCAGTTTGAAGACATGAGATTTAAAGTTGTTTGCTATCAGAAGACAACAAGCAAAACAAAAAAGTGCATTCAAAGACCTGATGAACAATCTCTTCCGTTCTCAAGTACAGCTCTTTCATCTTGACTCTTGTGATGCCATTGTATTACTGAATGTCTAGGCCAAAAGACAGAATTTGAACTTCTAATTTTGAAAGTCCTCTTAGGATCAGCAAGCAATCTTATTTCCCCTTTTTTATGTTAAAGGGGGGGGGCAGCAATGTCTGTGATTTGTGACTAAAAGTGTTTGGGGAGGTGCATTGTAAATGTAAAATTTCAGTAAAGATAGGAAAGTGAATAAAGAGCCCATCCATTTAATGTGGTAGTCAAAATACTGCATTGGGATTCAGGCTGAATTACTTACCTTTCGTTTTTTATTGGGTTCAAATAACTTTATTAGCGGTGATCTGATAATGAGTTGTTGCTGATTTAATCTGTAACTAAATAACTCAAGAATGTGTGGTTCTGCCTAAAGTTTTGGGTTGGTTATGTACTAGAGAGAGAGAGGTGAACTGTCCTATCCTGTTCATTGCCAGTGACTTAAGAAAACTGAGTTTGTGGTAGAAGCTTTACACAGTATTTCTCTGAAATACTTCTCAGACTTTTTCAACAAGAAATCTTGAGAAATCCTGTCTGCTTGCTAGTACTCTGTCAGGGGTGTGAGTGTTTTTCCTATTCATAACTGCTCTTGAGTGTTTTCATTAAAATGAGTAATTCTTGGCTCTGAGAATGAGATTAGAAACTGCAAAGAACAAAGAGAAAACTGAATTCAGTCTATTTTAAGCAAAGTGGAAATGACATGTGAAAATACTTTTTCTGAATGGTTTAGTCTAAATTTCTGCCTTGTGATGTTAGCATAATAAAGTAATTTAGAGTTCGTACTTCTGACTGTTAACTGCTTTAATTTACCATATGAATGATACCTGATGGAGAGCTAGTGTTCTGCAGATAACATCCATCCACTAAACAACCCTACATTTTTTGTGCATCCCTACACACTTGCGGCTAGCATGCTTGTACTTGCAAAGCTGGAAAGTCTGCCATCAAAGAAAGTAGTGGAGTCGTGAGGATACTTAAGAGTCCCCAGGGGGATAGAAAGCAGAGCCCTGCTCAGGGCCATGCAGATTGGTGAGCAGCGGAAATGGCACTGCTCTCTATGTGGATTCTGATCATATCATGTGTCAAGTCTCTGACTTAGTGGCTCTTGGAGGTGCCAGGTAGAGCCTAGCAGAAGCAGGATCTACTTTTAACTGAGTATTTTGACTAGTAAGAGTATATGGCATTTTGTGAGCAGGAGAAGTAGTAAACCTGGAACTGATGTAAGAAATAAGTCTTATAAACAGAAGTTGCTAGCAGATCTCATTGCTGTAGAGTATCCCAGGAGAAGTTCAGGAAAATTTTGGAAAGATTTGTCCTTTAATGGGAATTTTTAAAATAATGAGAATAGTTTTTAATAACTCTAGAATAGAAATATGTGAAAAACTGTGCTGCTTAACTTCATCAATATCTTGCTGGACTACCTTGGGTTAAGGTGAAATGCTCACTTGGGTCATTGGGTCAGCTAACCCTGAATTAGTTCTTGCAGGGGCAGTTGTGGTCTGCTGGATATCTCGTCCTGACTGCTCCTGGGTTGGATCGCCTTGCTAGAAGACGCATCTAATCTGCTGTGCCTGTGAAGACTCTCGCCTTTTAGTGATTGTGTCTTGAGATGAGAAAGCTATTTTTGTGGGCCTGAGTCTGTTCTGGCTTGTATTGTTATAATTTGGTAGTAGTTTGTACACATTTAACTTGTTTTGCAAAGAGATAACGTACACTCAAAGCGGCAGAAGACTGGAACCACAAAATGTTACCTGTTTGAATAGAAATTACGGTTCTCTAGCTCTTTGCTGAAAGAAGAAGAAAGAGAGAAGAAATTTTTAAAATAGTGACATGTCCTAAAAGCTACTCCCTGAGACAAGAATAGTTTTCACCAGTATTGTTTCTGCTCTTCACCAGGTTTCTGCTGTTACCATAAGACAGTATTTTTCTATTCATGATTCTTGACATTCATTATGAGGAATAAAGGGAAGTGACTAGCTTTAAAAAAAAAAATTCTTATTCATAGTAATGACTGACGTTCTGCAGAATGTTTATATCATTTTTTACATTAAGCCATGCGAAAGATTGTTTTGAGCATTGGTGCAAAAGCAGGCTGCTGGTGCCTCTGGTGGTATGTACAGGTTGAAACAGGAGAAGCAAGAACATTTGTATTGTAGTCATTGGCAGTGCAATTTTGCTAGTGCTTTATCACGGGAAGGTCAAGGAAGGAGTGTTGTGATGTTCTTCTGTGACGTTATGTGATCATGTGAAAGCAGTAAAGTGGATGTTTTTGGTTTTATGAACACTGATACTATATAATTTTATGTTTGGGGAGGGATTTTGTATTTGCTTATTTGGTATGGGATCTGTTTTGATAGTATGCCCCAAGCTGGTGTTATTACTTAAACGCTCAGACTTTTTAATGAGGTAAGGAACTAGATGGACAACAGTCTGTTTTATTGACCATGTCAGCACTGTAGTCACACCATTTAAATAAATCTGCTAAAATTTTGCCTATCCAATCTGTATTGAAATCTGTACGAAACCGAGGAAGTTTGTTCTTAGAGACTTCCTCATTAGTTATTTGAGAACCCCAAGAGGGGATGATGCTGGGAAATTAAACTGTTGTCTCAGTGCTGCAACTGGCCTATGATACAGTCTTGTGCTGAAATGGTATCTTTCCTCTCGATGAAACCTTACGAACTGTTGCACAGCATGGGAATTTTTATAAAACACACAGATGGAAAGTTCACAGCTCTGTAAAATATACGTTAGGTAAAGCAAGGAGGAAGGTTCCCCTTGTATTTGATAAAATTGTCATAACATCAAGGATGTTGTTGTAGTCCCTTTAACAAAAGCTGAGCTGCTACTTGTATTGGGCCTATTTGAAGATCAACAGATGGGTGGTGGGAAATACGACAGCAGGATAACAGTGAGAAGGGAGAGCTAACTCGTAATTGTAATTACATATTAATTAATGGGAAGAGGAGGGAGTCTCGCTAAATCCCATTGTAATGGCTTACTGGAGAAGGGAACAGCTACAAGCAGAGAACTTGGGGCTTCGTTTTTGTGAAGCGCGAGCAGCTGCATACGAAGCCCTTTCGAGATAAGGTGCGGTGTAATGAAAAAAGCCCCAGTCGCGCTGCGAACTTCACAGCTGGGTTCCTGAGGATGGTTACAGCATTATCTGCAGACGAAGCATCTGTCCGTGTGTGAAGCCCTTGTTACAGGACTTGAACCTTAGCAGTCCAGTACTTCACGAGTGCCCAGCAGGGCTACTGCAAGCCAGGTGCTAGCTTCCTGCGTGCAGCCTCCGAAAGAGCGCTTAACAAAATGAAATTAGTGTCACAGCAGTAACATCACACACACCATGTGATATATCAATTTGACGTGCCCCAGAAAGATATCTGTAAATTCAGGAGGTAACGTGCTTAATGTTATCTCCTATCTTACTTAATACGATCTTATTTGAAAAAAATATTCAAGTGGGTAGGAGATCACTGCAAAGGGGGAAGAAACGGAGAAAATGAACAGCAGTGTGAATGGACTGTTGCAAATGATCACATTATCACAGCTTAATGAGTTAAGGCAATGGGAATGGGCTTAAACTGCTACCTGGGTGGTTTGAACTGATGGGCTCTGTAATTGCTGTGTGCTAGAAATGAATGCCTCATCAGTTGCCATTGTACATCAAAGCAGTAGCAAATTAAGTTGCAGATGCTCAATTTTTTGAGATCACCTGCCTGTTCACATGCTCTTCTTTGGGTATTTTACCACACAATGGTTCTAATGGCTGCCATAGTGAGGGATATTTCTGCTTAAAAAATAGGGAGCAGAGCAGAGGATTTTGATACGCTGCATGGAATTACAGAATTTGCACCAATTTTTGGGACCTATGGGTACAGTAAGGTGTTCAGTAAGTTCGGTATGTCCCTAGGAGTGCATGAGAAGCAGACTTTCAGCAGTGCTTGTTGATGTTACTGCGCAGCTGTAAGTGCCGCTAACACAGATTTGCAGAGAGCAGAAGTTCTGTGCTGTAGCTGGGTAAGCATGAAAACGTGATGGAGGTGGCAACGATTTTCACCCTTTTGCTTTTGCTCCCTTTTTTTTTTTTGCTCCCGATTTTCACCCTTTTTCACCTGTTGCTTTTGTCAACAGGAAAAAAGCAGGGGAAAATGCTAGCAGCTATATGCAGACTGCATAAGGCTTGCTAAGCTTTTGCAAACGTGTATTTTTTGTCTTTCTGTTGACTTTTACTCTGCTCCGCCACATGTGTAATAACTCTGGGGGAATTGTGTGCTTGCAGACATACATCGGTTCCATAGTTGCCTCTGTGAACCCGTACAAGACCATTCCCGGACTGTATGACTGCGCTGCCGTGGAGCAGTACAGCAAGCACCACATGGGAGAGATCGCACCTCATATCTTTGCTGTGGCAAACGAGTGCTACCGCTGCCTTTGGAAGCGTCATGACAACCAGTGTATCCTCATCAGGTAAATGGCGGCTGCTTAAATTATCCCTGCTGGTGAGCGTTTAAAGGTGATTTAGAAACATGTACTTGGGCCGAATGGAGAAGAAAACTCTAAAAGAAAGCATGTTTTTAAATCATCAGAGTTCTGGAAGAGATTTTTGCATTTGCCGAGTATCGTTCTGTTGACCTCTGACAAAATGTTCATTTTGCTTATGCATCTTAGAATTTAATGAGAAAGAAATGTTGGTTTTGTGCGTTTTTGTACTTACCTGTCTGATTTTAGTTCAAGTGCTTTCCCTGCTGATTTATGCATCACCATGCAGCTCAGGAGTTTGTCACCGCTAGACCCTGAGCCCTGTATCTAGAGAAGAAAAATAAAACAAAACTCCCACCTCAGAGTTGAGAAAGGCTGTAAATAATAATAGCAAAAGAGAAAGCCCTCCACATTTCAACCGCTTAATTCTGCCTGATTAATTTTCCTTGCTTAATCTAATGGTGCTTTAATTTAATGATGATTTAATAGCTTCCCTTTTGGTCCGCTGTGGAGCTTATGTTCAGATCCTCGCTGCTGCTGAGCGTACATGGAGAGGAGTTGGCATTTCGATAGCTGTTAGTTGCTTTCCGCTCCTCCTGCCTTCGTGTTCCAGAAGAGAAGTAAAAAGAGCCAGCTCTTTTCCCAAGGTGGCTTCCTTCCGACAGAGTGCCAGCTCAGCTGTGCTGGCTCGCACATACAGCGGGAAAGCCGAAGCCTTGCCTGCCCCGTGCGCTGGCACCGCGCGCTGGATCAGCCGCGGCAGCTTGGTAGCAATTGCTGCACGGCACCTTTCTGCTCTGTATGGGGGCGGGTGCACAGCCAGCGAGAGAGCTCCTGTTTCCGCTCCCTCGCCTCTCTCTCACTTCTCTGCAGGATTTTGGGTGCAACTGGGCCTTAATTAAGCCTATTTGCTCTCGCCTTCCAGCAGCCTCAAGCACAAGCAAAACGTGACAGAAGTGAGAACTCTTCAGGCGCAGGCTGACACGATTTTGGCCGTCTCCCGACTGCCTTGAGAGCCCTTGCAACAGCCGTGGACTGGGGCACCAGGCAGAGCGGAGAAGGGATGTGGCAAAGTGACAGCCGCACCTTTTGCGGTTGGGGGTTTCTACCTGCGTTTAACATTACAGGCGAGTTTGCAAATTTTCCTGGAAAAGATGATGATTTGGCACGGGTAGTTAAAAACCGAAGCTGTTTTTGGAAATGTGGATCAGATACAGCACAGTTAAGTCTATTTTCACCTTCTCTGAAAGGTCTTAGCTAGCAGTCCCACTCTGTCCTGCTCTTCGGGCAGGATCTGCCTGGTAATGGCACAGAGATAGAGAGGGCTGCATGTATTTTTGAACTGTGGACTCGCTTCCTTTGTTTGAGGGGCCTTTTATGTGTTTATCATTGCACATTTAAAGCTCAGTCCAGGTGACACTGCATGAAAAAACGCAACGTACAGGTGTCTGTGTCATCTGAAAAAACTAGTTTGGAATCATGATTGCATGGCATAACGTCAGGTAATTATTTGTGAACAGTCCACGTACCCTGCATCTTTGGGACTGAGAGCATTTCTGGTGCCTACTCAGTGGCCACTGGCATTTTTATTAATCCCATCCTGTACTGGCCTAAGTATTTACCTTTCCTTCCAGATTTCCACAAGCCACAGAGAGAGAAGCAGGTTGTGTCCTAAAAAGGAAGTAAACAAAAGTCTTGGATGCTCCAGGGGAGTTCTCCAGCAGTCTCTGCTCTGCAAGCCGTGTGCCTTGGTACAGACAAGCCGTAATAAGGAAAAGTTTCATGTTAACAGTCCACGGCTGTGGACTAAAGCAGTAGTCTGGAATAAGTTCAGTGTTTTGGACAAGTGCAATAATGCCACCTTATATAAGGGCATCTTCAGTTTCTACAGAATATGAGGGAAATTGCAATTTGCAAGAACAAATGCAAAATAAAATCTCCCGTTGTAAAAGAAGACAATCTACTGTAGCTTGTGAAGGACTCAGAGCAAGATTTTTTTAAAGTTACTAGATGTTTTCAGTGGTTGTTCTGAGGTTGGAAGGTCTTCATGATCGCATATTTAGTTTGGGGCATCCAAAATGGAGGTCTAGCCAATTTCCTAGTCGTGTTCAGCATCCTGCGTGTTTCACTCGCTTAGAATTAGATGTTGCAACCGCTCACTGTCAGGTTCGCTTGGTTACTGCGGGCATGTGAAAAAATGCTCCAGCTGAACTTTGGCTAATGTCTGAATTCTGGCAAATAGTTTAGTATTATATTTCATGTAAGAGATGGTACAAAAGAAAATTGTGTTCCCTTGTGAAAGCAGAATAAACAATTACGTTCAGTTAAAATAAGTAAGTTGTCAGAGCAAGTTTCAAATTCTCATGTGCGGCTTTCCCCTGTTCCTAATTTTGGGATCTAAAACCTCAGTAGCAAGTTGGAACTGCTTTATGAAATAAGGCATTTACTGTGTGTGTTTTGGGTTTTTTTTTTTGATCCTCTGGACTTGAAGTGCCCCCTGCTGGCAGTCAGAATTTGTTCAGCTTTGTTTTGGAGATGCTTTCTTAATAACGTAGTATTTGGATTCAAAACCTGTGAAGAGGCTTCTAGATTGTTTTGCAATGTTTTGAATTTTTCTGAGTGGTGTAAGATGAGAGGGTTAAGGCAAGACTGTGAATCAAAACCTGTCACCAGTGGTGACCTAAAACGTAAAATAAAGCCCAGATCATTTTTCCAGTATAACCATTCAGAATAAAGGTAGGAAAGCAAGGGAGTATAGAAGGGATAATGTTCCATGAAGTCTTGTGAAGATGCCTGATTATTGATCTGTGTTACACAGGCTTATGCATGATAATGCTGTAGAAGAATGACTTAGCAACCTGTAATGTCAACAGAGGGGCATGCTGGACAAGCCATGCAGAACCTGTGCATTAGAATATTGACACAATTGTGAAATGGTGTTTTTGCTCTGCCAGGCTAGAAGTTGCTTGTGTGCTTATTGAGCTAAAGCTTTTCATTCAAAAACGTCTGTATCAAAGAATGTTCAACTGGATGTTGGTCTGAAGCTTATCGCAAAGGCCAGTTTCATTTGGGGGTGGGGGGGAAAGCCCACCACAGTTAAATTTGGTGCTGTCTGAGACACATTACAAAACTGTTAACATCATCTGATTTTTCAGCCAGCTTGCTGCTGTTAATGGAAAACCAAGTGAAGAGCTCAAGCTGAATAGCTGTTCTGGAATCTGGGCACCTTGGTGGGAGCAGGGACTTGCTGTGAGTCAAGGAATAGCCAGTTTGTCCTAAGAGGCATAACTGAGTTCAGCTCGTGATTATCTGGCAGGTATAGGTTGTATTTCTATACCTTTAGGTTGTATTTTTGTTGCTTTTTGCTTAAGGTGGTCTAAGAAGTATAGAGCAATCAAAGGAGCAGCATCAGCCACACTGAGTTACATTCTTTTCAGGTCAATGCTGGGAGTGGGAAATCACAGCCAGAAACCAGTTTGTTCTCTCTGTTATATATCTGTTATCTGATGGCCTGACATGTTGTTGTTGTTGTTCAGCTTGAGGATCAACATAAAACAAACTGCTCTTTGGGTATGATCCAGACTTTTGGTGGAAGACTTGCTTGTGAGACTGACATACTAAAATTCTCTTGTGCATTTGAAAAAACTGTATTTGCTGCGGAGGCTTATTTTGCCTATGTGTATCTGTCTTTGGGGTTTTAAAGGCAGAAGAAAGAACTGAGAAGTGATTTAGAGTTGTGTTGATCCAGCCTTATTTGCAGCAAGTCCTTCAGAATGAGGAAGTCTCTATTACTGACCCCATTTTCCATTGCAGCAGTCTGAAGTTCAGACTGTTGTGCCCTTAGTGAGATGCCCTGTGTAGAGCAAGTCATGGAGAAAGATTAAAGATCTCCTAAATGAGGGCCTCGTGGGTTGCTGTCATACTTAATATATTCAGAATACTGAGTGTAGTGATGTGGAACCAGCTGGGCACTTAAGCTCGTGGGGAGAAAAGCCCATCCTGGAAAGGTTGAGTATATACTAAAAATTCCCCCTTCTTTTACTTGCCAACTATCCTATAGGGATAGTCTCTCTAAGGATTCTGAAAGCTTGTTCCCAGCCTAAGCTACTTCTGGTGTTTGTACTGTGTGGGTTGAATAAACAACCTGAAAGATTAGTATGCTTGTTTTTGATTTTCATCTTATTAATTTTAGCTGTCTTTTATGAAGCATTTTGCAAGGGAAAAATCAGAGCTACCTTCACAACAAAATAATAGGCCCTGAGCTGAGCAGCACCATGCAGGACTGAGGCTTGCAGTCAGGCTAGAGGGATCCGTAAAACCATTCACTCGGTGCTCAGTAGTGTTTGTAAAACTACATAGAGTTTAGAATTAATAGAATTGAAGTGTTACTGGTAAAAGAATAGGTAAAGATCGTTGTATAAATACATGCTTTGCTTATGTCTTGAATATTGTGAACAGGCCTTTTCTCGCTAGCTTTATGTCCGAAAGGACTTCTTGTAACTGGAGATGATTCAGAGGAGAACAAAAGGCAACAGAAGTGTAGAATGTGGGAACGGCTAACTTAGCTGGACAGCTTGGCAGTGGGGTGATGGATGTCTGTGAAGCTGGGAGTAGCAGGGAGAGGGGCTGCAAGGATGTATTGTTTGCTGTTCCTTCCAATACAAGAACTAGGCAGCATCAGATGAAGTTAATAAGAGGTAGATCCAAATCAGCAGGAGGTGGCTTTTTGTACAGTGTGTACAATCATCTTTACAGTAGGATATTGTGAGTATTAGAAGTTCATAATGTTTTTATGGGATGTGGCTAGAAACTCATGGAAGATGAATCCATTGGGGATTACAAGATGCTGGGAAGCTGAAATATGGAAGGCAAAATGCTATCTTCCCTGGGCGTACCCTTTTAGTCACTGTCAGCTACAGGACGCTGAGCAGGTAGATCTTTCACATGAGCCAGTTCTGAGCCTCTAGTGTTCTAAGAAGAAGTCAAGAGGGTATAATCATGCATGATACTGACTATACTAGAAATAAACGTAGAACATATTTTTAAATGAGCTTTGAATACATCACTTACAGAATTGCTCTTGATTACACCGGGGTAACTCTCAGCTTCCATGGCACTGCTAATGCTTCAAAGCATAGGCTGTGAGATGGTGACAGGTGAAGGAAAGTGTCCTCAGAGGAGCTGATGTCCTCCTGACACCCAGATCGCTGCAATGGAGCTCAGAGCAGGAGAGTGTAGGCAGGAAGAGGATTGTGCCACTTGATGAGATTTTTGCACCGGACAAAGATAAAGCAAGTGAACTTCTTTCAAAACTAGTAGTAGAGGCGTTGTGCTAGTCTTTTAAGAGACAAGAAGCTGGTATCAAACGGGGGGAATAGTAAAGATTTGCTTCCTTGGCAAAGGAGCGTGAACGGGTGTGGGTCTGCGGAGAGAAAGGGAACAAATACCAAAAAGGCTTAGACCTTGAGGGAAAGTGGTTATAAGCTGAAATCCCGAATGTCAGCGGTAAAAATAAATTAAACATAGTACAGAATTTGTTTGAGATGCTAAATGTGTGATAGATGAAACATACGTAACTCGAACATACCACCACCATGTAGTGTATCTTGTGTGAAATTTTATGAAATATTTTGAAGGCTTGCTAATTCTTTCTGCGAAATGTTTGAAAATATATCTCAGCTACAAGACTCTCGGTGTCTCATTCTATATTCCTTATGCCTCTTCCCTGATTAGTTTTGTAATTGTTTGTGTTCATTTGCAGGAAAATGACATGCGGTTTCCTTGGGCTATACCTTTCTTTGCTTTTTTACTAGAAACCATCATTATCCTTTGTAATGACCTAAAACCACTAGGGTCACTGCTTAACAATGGCACAACAAAAGACTCGGCTAAACTGTGCCTGTTACATATGCCCAGTTGTGCTCCATCAAAGCCAATGACAGAACTCCCACTTGCTACAATGAAAAGGGTAGGGTGAGGCCAAAATATACCTCCTTCCCGTGGGAGTAAACAGGAATCAGGCACAGCTTAATTAGGAATTAAGAAAACTAGGAAAACTAGGTTGCAGCTTAGAATGTGATGCTGTGACTTCAGATGAAAAGCAAGCAAAGTACACAAACTTAAACCGCAAGCTTTATTTCTTAATACCTCACAGTGTGCTTTTAATTACAAAGATATATGATTGAAGAGAAATGAAGCTGGGGAAGCGAGCAAAATTTGCACCTTTCAGTCAGATGGTCTAAAAAAGGAAATCTGTTTGCATCAGCAGCGCTGCTTATTAACAGTTTGCCTTTCAAATGTCAGTTTAGCATTCCTACATAGCTTAGTTCCTCTGTTGGTGAAGAGGAGAGGTTCTACATCCTGCACGTGCACTGAAGGAGAGCAATAAAAGACTAGGTGAAAATGCACAGAATCATGAAAGATTTGTTTAAAGAACATATATACCTCATGAAGAATATCAGTATTAGTGGCCTTTATGCGCTGGTGTGTTTCGCAGCAAGGCTCCCTCCTTAGCTAGACTGCAGCAACTTCATTCCAGACCTTCCCAGCTTCATTCGTGTAGGGGGGAAGTCTCCATGTTCTGGACTTTCTCACGGACCGTTTTTAAGCTGTGAGGCTGTGCCTCTTTGTGCTATTTTTTGCTTTTCTGTATTGGTGAGGTTTGCTGGCACTATGTGTTCAGAGAGCTCTGCTTAGCCTCATGGATATTCTGTGCATCTGTATTCAACGAATGCTTTGAAGCGCTCTCTGAAAAGTGGTGCAAAGTGTGAAGTTAGCGTGATATTTTTGTTGCATGTCATACTGCCAGTCTCACTAGCTTATAGTAGTTTAGAGAGCTGGCCAGACAAAGGGCTTTTTCCCCCTGCAGCTGGAACTGTCAAAACACTTTCTTCTTCTTTCAGTGGTGAAAGTGGTGCTGGTAAGACAGAAAGCACTAAGCTGATTCTCAAGTTCTTATCTGCAATGAGCCAACATTCACTGGAACTGTCTTCCAGAGAGAAAACCTTCTGCGTGGAGCAAGCTATTCTTGAAAGCAGGTACTTCATTCATGTCCTTGTATGTGTTCCTGGTTGTTGCACAAAGGGTCTGTTAACTGAGATGGGACATCACAGAGGCGGAAAATGCTTGAAGTCCAGGTTAATGTAAAAACATTGGTGGAGCAATTAAGGAAAAATCATGCACTGGTACCAGGGGAATGGACTGACAGGTACAAGTTTGCTCTGTTAATAGTTTAGGTAGTCTTATTTAGTTGTTGATTTGTTGATATGAGAGAAACCAATTCTCCACGTTTTACATGATAGTTATATTCTTGTTAGTACATTCCTTATAGAAGTCTGTCTTATACTACATGCCTGTTGTTTATTAAACATCTATTAATGTGTGGTTTCTTTACCTGAAAGACACCGTTGGGTCAAAAACGTATGAGGTTGTGCAGGATCTTCAGGCAGCTTGTGAAGGGCTAGAGAATCTTTAGTTTCTTTTGAAACTCCTTGCATATGCCTTTCATCCCTTCTGAAACCCATTTCACTGAGAAAGAAATGCTTGCTTTCTTCCTAGCACAGATTTGTGTACATTATTGCCAATATTGTGTTGGTCACGTTTTAAGAGAAAGACTGAATCACCGAGAAATGGTTTAGGGACAGTCTCTCTACATTTGCAATGTGATGTAAGCTCCCTGATTTTATAGGAGTAGTATGTACTTCCAGTGCAGTGTTAAAATTAAATAACATGCAATTAGTTAATTTTGCTTTTCCAAATCTCTAAATACACAGATGTTTTTTCAGAAGACATAAGTCTTGTCAATGAAATGAAACAGCTTGCAATGTAACTAAATATATGGGTGAATTTACTAAACAATAAAATGAATGTTGTTGGGGGGGGATAATTTCCATTAAACAATATCACCTGGGTGCTCCTAGTGAGTTAAGAGCACAGTGGGATATCTTAATGAAGCACACAGATGGAGATTTTTGAAACGGATGATGATTTAAGGGTGGCTTCTGTTACTGTCTGAGGCTTGAAGTCAGATAATCAAAGTAAGGGAAACAATTGATGGAAGAGAGGAACTGCTTGCTTGGTGTATGTAGCCTGAGGAGAAGGTAAGGGAGATTAGGCATGATAAGGATAAAGAGTGCAGGTGGTAAAAGCGCACCCAGGAAAATGAGGATAAGGAGAGCTGATACGACCAGGTGAGTAGATGCATCAGATAAGTTGGACACCCTATACAAGCATAGAAATCACTCAGTGCTCAAATGAAATAACACATAGCTTCTAAACTATTTAAAACCAAAGACAATTTAAGGTCTATTACGTCTGTCTGTCACGCTTCATCTCTGTTTACCTGCTGTATCTTGATGTAAAGATTTTTTTTATTGCCGTTTCTCTGCATCTGTCCAACAGCTTGCCAGCATTGATGTTTCTTATTTCTGCAGTTTGAGTACTGTGAAGAGAATTGCTTGCATCTTCTTGCACAGTTATAGGTTGAACTGTGCAGTAGTTCAGTACTGTAAATCTTCCTGTTACTTGAATTTTTACATCTGTTGGTACCAAACAGAGATGTTCATTTTCAGAAAAATACTGAGGATATAGGTTAAGGCTGAAGAGGATGTCAAAAACGGGCTTCACACAGTGCCATTCCTTTTGCCAGTCCCATGTGAAACTGTTAGTTTGCTAGTCACACAGTAACGCTTTTGTCATTTTTCCGTATTTTCACAGTCCGATTATGGAAGCTTTTGGAAATGCGAAGACGGTTTACAACAACAACTCAAGTCGCTTTGGGAAGTTTATTCAGCTGAACATCTGTCAGAAAGGAAACATTCAGGGAGGAAGAATTATAGATTGTATCCTTGTTTGGTGATTTGCCTCCGTGTTTCCAGGCAGCCCATGTATACCTCCTCTGTGGAGAGCTGAGAAGGAAGTAGCTCACCCTTTTCTGTCCTTTCCCCCTACTCTGAAACATGCACAATTCAATTGACCTGATTTAGGTGGGAAAGGCAAGCAGTTCAGCCAAGTTCTGTGGGTGCCTTTGCACTCATGCACACATGCGTTCGTAGCAGGGTGGATCGTATATACGCTCTGAGGACCAAGATCTTGTATTGCTACTGTTGCTGTGGTTCATGTACGTCTTCCTATATCATGAGCTAATAGGACCTTAATTCTTGGGTCTAATCTCAGTTCTCAACTGTTTCCCTCAGCTACTATAACTATATCTGAAGATAAATTTCTCAGTTACTAGAAAAGTACTTGAAAGAGCAGAGCTGCTGAATGAGCATGGGTGGTCGGGTCCTTGAATATGTCCTGGATTTGACAAAATTAGACTGTCAGGCAGCTCCAACAGAGCACCAGGGGTAAAGGGATGAGGAATATACCCGGAGGATGGGGAAGCTGTATAGATGAAGATGTAACTGATTGTACTGAATGTAGGCACATTGCAGACTGTGCTTGCTGTTTCAAAACAGTAACTGGAATAGTCAATGTGAAAATTTTCTCCGTCCTGCTTCCCTGTTTTGGGGAAACATGCTGCTCATGCCACTTTTCAAATCCTGCCTAGTGTTTTGAACATAAACTGCTTTTGCAGTGGGATGAATTCATCCTTAAAGCTTGTTCCCAAGCTTTAGTAGGAAAAAGACAAAGTAAAGCAAAGCAGATGCCATTTAAAACCCAGACTGTGACAAGTCGAATTTTGGAGGGGATGGAGGAAAAGGAGGTGGAGGAACACATTGGTATTAGAACTGTTGTAGTATTATCATTGTTGCTACTTTATTCATCTTGTTATGACAGTAGGCAAGTTGTAAGAAAAGATCGTGAGGCTTTTCCTACAGTCTGAAATGAAAGCGTAAGGAAGGTTATAAATAGCTTGTGCGTTAAATCATTTGTTTTTTGCTTTATTCCTTGACTGAAGTTTTTTGTACGTGGCTGTAGATTTATTGGAAAAAGTAAGTTGATACTTGCTTTTGCTCTGTTAATTTTGTGGGGGGCGTGTGTATGTGTTTGTTTTTTTTTTTGAAATTGTGGCTAAATAAGTTATCCTTAAAAATGATTCCTTAAATGGAGACTATTTTTTACTTTGACAGAACCGTGTAGTAAGGCAGAACCCTGGGGAAAGAAATTATCATATATTCTATGCTCTGCTGGCAGGGATAGAAGAGAGTGAGAAAGGTGAGTGGCAAAGCACAAGTCACACAACTGTAGCAGCTCTCTGCTAGTAGTCAGCCATGGTGACGGTGGTAGAGAATGTAACTGCAGGAACCCAATATCCCGAGCAGAGGAACGGGTTATTTATTAAGTATGAATTCACGGAGCGTGAGCTTGAGGACAACTTGATAAAGCAATCTGCTTAGCTGAAGAATGTCCCCAAGCCGTGGGTAATTTTACTCCCAGCTTTTCCTGAAGCCTTGGGAAAATTATTTGGGGACAAACATGCTTCATTCTGTTCAAGCTGAATATTTTTGCTGGTACTAAATAACTCCACAGCAACAAAGAGAAGAATTCTTGTTCCTCTAATCCCCTCTCATAAAGAATAAATCCACAGAACAAAAGAAATGACATTTGTATATGTACAAAATTGCCTGAGGCTGTCTCAGCACCTCCCTGTGGGCCCGCTGTCTTTGCATGCTGAAAAGTAGCTTTAACTCCATTGTGCAGCTAAATAAAGCAAAAAACCAAAAACAAAAAACGCAACACACAACAGCATGATAACCCCCCATATTTTTTTTTAAATGTAAACTTTATTTGTGCAACATGTTTATTTCTGAGCAAATGAATTGTGAATTATTTAACTGTGGCATAGGAATTTGTGGAGTGTTTTTGTTTTGTGGGTTTTTTTCACTCCTTCTCTTTTCTCCCTCATTAGATGCTTTTTACTTATCTGTGCCAGAGAACTACCACTACTTGAATCAATCTGGATGTATAGCGGATAAGACAATCAATGACAAAGACTCTTTCAAGGAAGTCATTGTGAGTTGTTTCATTAATTCTTTATGCTGTAAGGGTGCTAGTGAGGCAGATGCCTGAGACCTCTTGATAGCTAGAGCAGGGCACGAAGCCTTCTTATGCTTACCTGTGCTTTTCTTGGCTTTCAGGCACTATATGGAGCTCTGTCATACAGGCACTAGACTTGTAGGGATTTCGTTTTTCTGATAACGTTTCACTGCCGTTTTGAGCGTGGCTCTGCCTTGCCTCCAATATTTGATTTTACTTTATCATTTCTAAGCGTGCTATAGTTTAGTGAAATGATTACGTTTTGGAATCAAAAGCGTGTCAGTTGGAAAGACGGCGAGACAGTCACGTGCCTTTACCCTTCCGTTCATGCCGAGCAGCAGTGACGTTTACAGGAGTTTAGAATAATGAACGTATCCATTTGTATTTGTGTCAGAATGCTCCATGTGCGGTGTTGGTTGAAGAAGGATATTACAGAGTAAACCTAAGGGTAATCCCTTTGTCGTGGTAGCCTGTCTCTCAAATAAAACACAGCAATATGAGCAAGGGCGTTGGCATACAGTAAGTTTTAAGTGTCGTGCCTTAAGATCTGACTCATGCCAAGCATCCTTAGGCTACGGGGTTGCACTTTTGTTCGCGAATCTAAAAGCTTAAAAACATGGCAGTAGATTTCCTTTTCCTCCTTTGCCCTCCTACAGTAGAACTGCTGTGAGTACAGTCAGATGGCTGGTCGTGTTTATAAAAAGGCTCATTTTCACGTCTGCTCATTAGTTATCCGTGTGGAGTTGCTAACATAAAACTGTCAAAAACATGCAGCAATTGGGAAGCAACCTGCCTTTTATGGGAAGGTAAAGCTTGATTTATCAGATATTTTATATTACATGCATGTGTATTTATGCTGCTTTTTCATGCTAAAGCTTTATATAGATTACGTAAAGTCTGTCGGCCCCAGCGTGTAGTGCAACATGTGGGGCGTGCAGCTTGTGGGCTTTTGTAATTCTTTAAGTTGCAGTTAGGAGATGCAGTTATATGAAGTAATGTACAGAATACGGTTGAATAAAACGGACACACAGGTTAAAAACCAGGTCCTGATGGAGACTTTCTTTGAACAACTTTATATCTCATACCTACACTAATGTCAGCAGTTAATAACAGTAATTAGCCAATACTAACTTTTAGGATAATTGCTAATGGCTTGCCATATTACTGAAGTGATATGTAATAGTTTTTAAAAATCAATAAAAATCATGTTTAGTGCTCTTCAAATTATTTTTGCTTAGTTACTTTAATTTCTTTGCCAAAATGACAAATTATTATGTAGCGGTTGCAGCAGTTATTTCTACTGTGAAACCTCCAAATCTAGTGTGAGGGGGGTTGGAAAAGTTGTTAGCTTATCTACACTATAGTCACATAGCTTAAGCTGATTAGCACGACATTTAATTTGCACTGCTTACCCCACAGCACGTAGAGCATGAAGTTAACTCGACAGGTGAGGTTTGCATTCTGCCGTAAACACCGGCACACTTGCAGCACCCAGAGAGGCTGCCAGTCCGCTTCCCTAGAAAAGCAGAGGGCCCAAAATTTTGCGCTTTGCACTCTCCTGTCTTTCCTATTCTGTTCGTCCCCTTTCTGCATTTTTTCTTGCAGTTTAAGTCCTAGAGAAGTTACTTAAGTGAGATGTTTTTTTTTCAATCAGTCCCTCTCTATGCTTTCTTTATGGACACTTCCCTAGAGGCGAGATGATTTTCAGGTGGCTGCACTTTAGACGTTTTTCTTTTCTTTGTATCTGGCCTTTTCTGAGGGGACGGGGAGGAACAGTACCGTAAGCTTGGAGTGGAGATGTATTCAGTGCCGCCAGCTTTCTGAGAGCACTGTTGTGAAAGCTCTCCTCTTCTAAATAAAGCTTCAGCGTTTCTTAATTGTGGGATGATTCTGAGGGTGGTTTTAGTTTGTAACTGCTAGATATATTGAAGATAAAATATGTCAAGTGTCCTCTATCAGGCACCTGCAGTGACCATAACATTATAAATCAGACAGAAGCAGAGTAGACCCACTTTTGGGAAATTCAGGTAATTTCCAGAGGATTGCAACTTCATACCCTCTCTCTATCAGAAAAATGCGCATAGCTCTTCTTATTTTAAGATTTCTCTACACAGAGATTTGCCTTTTCTTCTTGTATCGTAAGAGCCTCGATCATTGCCATGTTGGTAATTCATAAATTCAACAAGTTTGATATAGATCTATTTTTCTATCGTAAGAGCCTCGATCATTGCCATGTTGGTAATTCATAAATTCAACAAGTTTGATATAGATCTATTTTTCTTTGTATCGTAAGAGCCTCGATCGTTGCCATGTTGGTAATTCATAAATTCGACAAGTTTGATATAGATCTATTTTTCTTGCTCAACTGTGCTCTAAGGTGTCAGAGTATGCAGGTAAGACCTGTATTTGGACTTCACTTCTTTCCCAGAATACGCTACCGAATGCCTCCTCCGACTTCACTGCGGCTGAGAAAATGCGTGTGCCAACCCAGTATGTTGCAGTGTTTCCTCCCTGCCCCCGTGCCTTGTCACCTGCCTGACTGGCAAACCTTGGGGAAAACAGAGGAGGTTAGCCGTTATTAGGGCACGTTAGTGAAGTTGTCTGATACGCAACTCGGTAAAGCATTTCGGTCTTCTTGTAATTTTAAGCATAATGAAGAATTTGAAAGCAATGGGGCTACCACAACATCAGGAGAAAGCGAGTTCCTAAGAACGGTGATATTTGCATGTTCAGAGTTGTCCCTGTAGTGTCTTAAATTGTACGTGATCTGGGATGAGACCAAAGGAATTAACCCCTGCCAGTCCTCTGTCAATACTGACTTGCCTTTCTAAGGCCATACAACACAGCTGGTGGTTTTGTCCGTGTCTCCATTTTTGCTTCAGTGTGCCTTTTACTTAAGAAGTTCACATGTCATTCCAGACTGCGATGGAAGTGATGCAGTTCAGCAAGGAGGAAGTGCGAGAAGTTTTGAGGCTATTAGCTGGCATTTTGCATCTCGGAAACATTGAGTTTATCACTGCTGGTGGGGCACAGGTGTCCTTTAAAACAGGTGAGAAGGCTGTGGTTCCTTGTAGAACATAAATGTTTCTTGAGGTTATGAAAGTTATACTCATTGCTAGTAGACCAGACCAAAGCAAGGACAAATAGTGAAAGGGATCTCACTGCTTTTTAGCTTCTGTAGATGTTGATTACAGTATTGGTTTTGTTTTTTGTCAGGTAAGACAAATCAGTCTTTGCTGCGGAACACTAGATCTCAATTAGGAAAGAACTTGAGTACAGATTTATTTCGTTAACAGTAGTGAAATTCCATCGTATTCTAATTCCTGGCTTAGAATATTTTCAGTATGGTAAAACTTACGTGCTCAAGTGTGTTCCACAACTGAGCCTTCCATTTAAACTCTCTTTTGTTAAAGCATTCAGTATTGCAGTTGCAATATGAAGGTATGTGCTGCTAGGTCTGAAGATTGGGCTTACAAGCATTTTAAATGTTTGTTCAAATATGGCAAAGAGTAGCATTACGTAGTGCTTTATGTACCACAGCACAGCAAAACTGCAAATTAAAATATGCATATAAGAAAAGGTTTCTTGGTTTTCCTTATTCTCTTTGTCCCAAGGGGAGCTGAAACATGTTCATGTGGACAAAGAGGAAATTACTGCTTGTAGCTGGAGAAATATGTTGATGAAAGTAGTAGGTTGTTTGAAACCTTGACTTGTAAGGTTAGAGGAAAATAAACATGTGTGACTTAATTGCAATGAATATGTACTATTAAATCCCTTCAATTGTACATATTTGTACAGCTTTTCGCAGCTCTTAGAAATTCTAATTGTGTTTTTATTTCTAATCCTTATCATTTTAGAAGCATCTTAAATGGTGATCATAACTATAATAGTAATAAACAAGTTGTTTCATACGCTTACACATGTAAGCATATATTTATATTTGGCTCTTTTCTCTTGCCAGCTCTGGGAAGATCTGCTGAATTATTGGGGTTGGACTCCACACAGCTGACTGAAGCATTGACCCAGAGGTCGATGATACTCAGGGGAGAAGAAATCCTAACACCTCTTAGTATACAACAGGTAAAGGCATCTCAGTTTTGACTTGTTTCTAGGGTCTATTAAATGTTATTGCTCAGTCTTCAAGTCCAGTGAAAATATTCCTTCGCTTAGGAACAGAAGCTTGTTTCATGCATCAAGGTTGCATTGCTATCAAGACCACTACCTAATTTTTTTTTAAGAAGGGTATAACTGAATTTTTAGAAATCTCTAGAGATCCCATCCTACCATTCTGGTCAGGGCTTCTAGCTTGGCTCTTGTGACTATTGTTAAGTCTTATTGCTTACCATTTTTAGCAAAGTATTAATTGTACGGGCTGACATTTTTTATTATGGATGCCTGTGTTAGGTGAGCAATTTTGGAAGCTTTCAGCAAAAATGCTTTAGTTATTTGCAAGAGTGGAATTAGAAGAAGGTATACGTTAATAATATGCTTACCTATAAAAGGAGTAAATTAAGGTAGTATCTCCTGCCCTTCGCTTTTTCCTCCTCCTGACCTTAAGTCTGTTATTTCCTGTTTCTTGAATGCTTGAGCTTTGAGATGTAGTTTTCAGGCCACGTAAGTATAAAACTGTTATAACTTACAGTGTTAAAACTTGAACTGGGACTCTTAGTAACTGATAACATAGCTGCCGTCAAGGCACATAGGAATACCAAGCTGTATGCGTTACACCTTGCCGTATGCTGCGCAAAGGACGCTGACTGGCAAGATCTGGTAACTTCTCAGTTCCAGTGATGATGATTATATTGTGTGTTACTTCTCTAATGCAGGCAATAGATAGCAGAGATTCTGTGGCTATGGCACTTTATTCGCAGTGTTTTGCTTGGGTCATTAAGAAAATCAACAGCAGAATCAGAAGCAAGGAAGACTTCAAGTCCATTGGAATTCTGGATATATTTGGATTTGAAAACTTTGAGGTAGGTTTTGCAGGGTTGCTCAGGTGGATTGTCTGGTGGTGTTTATGCCTCGTCGTTCTACGTGTCTTTTTCATCTTCACTGTAACTTGATTATTAAACATATTATGACTTAAATTAGTTCATTGTTTGCAAAGTAAAATACTTTGAACATAGGCATTTTTGAAAGTTTCTTGTCTTTGTAGGTTAATCGTTTTGAGCAGTTTAATATTAACTATGCAAATGAGAAGCTTCAGGAGTATTTCAACAAACACATCTTTTCATTGGAGCAACTGGAATACAGCAGGTAAGAGTTACAGATGAAATTTGAGAGCAGTTTGAAAATACCCTTATCTTTTGAAATTTGGGTTCCCAGCTGCTGTAGAGTCCTTTGGAAGTACAAATACGGCAGCTTCCTTAACTCCTTTATTTAAAATCTTTGGGTTTGAAATTGTCAATAAAAAGCTGCTCCTTGTTTTCACTAGGGAAGGACTAGCTTGGGAAGATATTGACTGGACAGACAATGGAGAGTGCTTGGATCTCATTGAAAAGGTAATCAAGTATTTGATATCAGTTCATATTTCTAGTTTTTGTTATGAAATGATATGTTTTTAAAACGCCTGCTGACACAAAGAACAAGTGAAGTAGTAGCTCATGGATGTTTAAATAGTGATCTTTTAATGTGATCGTTCTCATACATGGCCATATTCTAGATTATATGGTAAGGTCAATATACGTATCTTTCCTTGTAACTTTTAACAGGGTGTGGCTATATGCGAAAGCAATATTTGGATATGGTTAAAAAGATGGGATAGAGATTGTCTTTGGTCACAAAGCTTGCTGTCCTGTTTTTTTTTTTTTTCCCCTATTTATTAGAATGTAACTACTCAGTATACCTTACAGTAAAAATAATGAATGTAACATAATAAAGTCATAAACATAATAGTGTTAAGTACTGGATAATATAAAATGCAGGACAACTTTTGCTTTGAAGTTTTTGCAGCCAAAAAGACAAGATTGACAAGCTGCTTGGTGGGAGGTGGGGGGAAAGAATGACAATGCCTTGTTGCATTATTGCTGTTCCTGGAATGTGGGTAATCATCGTTTGTTGCCTGCCAAGTTTTGTTTGAGCCACAGTTTTTCTGGTATTCTAACTGCACCAAAGAAACATACCAAAAAAGCATGAAGTATCTGCATAGTTATTGGTAGGAAAGTTAGCAGCGAGGGGCAGATGTGATCCAAGTTCACTGCCTAGCAATTCTAACTCCAGCGTTTCTTTCTCATCTTTAAATAGTTAGAGACTGGATGGCAAAGGAGAAGTTTTTATAGAGAGTTTTGGTCCTGTTGACTTTTGTCAGCCATACAAGAGGGCTGTGTGAATTAATCACTGCAGTGGGTTTAGCTGATCACAGAAACTCTCTCCAAAGAAGTGAGCAGAGGATTCAGTTGTCAGGATGTGACTGCAATGAGGATGGAGTGGTTTGTCAGAAGCTGCTCTAGGCTAAGGGGAAATGTCTTATTGAAAGGTGCACTTGGAGAATTGTGTTCTTCTGAGAGACTATATTAACCTGAAGTTTACTGGACACATTAGCTAACTGTAAGGTAGCTTACTTGGTTTACCGTCTTTTCTAATACACGAAGTAGGGAACATCAAAGGAAATTATCCAGAGGCATAGGCAGAACAATGAGGGGGGTTCTGTTTCATATGATGCGTAGTTAAACTGTGAAAATTTTGCTGTGCCCCTGGGCATTGTAAATGCTAAAAGTTTTCATTGGTTCAAAAATTAATTAGATAAATTCATGGAAGAAATTTTTTGGAAAGGCTGTTTACTCAACCTCCTCAGACTTAAGGAATCCCTGAGCTGCTGATCACTGGATATCTTGGAGGCTGGGAGTGTATTCTGTGATAATGTACCTGTGTGCACCTGAAAGTTCCCCTACATCAAGAAGGCTGTTGCTGCTTCTGGTAGGAGTATTGTCAGAAAAATAGGATTGCAGTCTCCTATGAGAGTGGGTTTATAACCGTGTACTGGTGATTTTCTGCCTCTCTGCACAATATCTTTAAGAACTTTGTGATGTTTGCAAACTGGGGACGAGGTCAGTGTCCACCTGTGCGCTAATTTATCTCCTGCCTGTTTTCACTGTTCTAGAAACTTGGCCTGCTGGCACTGATCAATGAAGAGAGCCATTTTCCTCAAGCTACTGACTCCACCTTACTGGAGAAGTTAAATGCCCAGCACGCTGTATGTGATGTTTTGCTAATGTATTTTGTGCAAATTGTGGAGCGTCTCTGCTTTTGCCGAAATTTGTGATTCAGATATGTGTTTTGGGCCTGGTTCTACTTCCATTGCAATCCATATCATTTGCTTTCAGGACTAAGCCAGTTACCATGTGTCCATGTTACCGTCCAGTTGAAAAGTTCCACTTTGGAAGAAATGTCAAATTTTAATCTTAGTTTCAGCTCTGACAACCTGCAGTAACTCAGTTTGCTTAGATCTTCAGTTTTCATTGATGCATTGAAGTGTTCAGTTGATGGCATCTATTAAGTGGTTGCTGCTTTCTTTGTACGGGTTAGCTTTACCTTATTTGTGACCCTAGAATCGTATTCAAGAATTTCTGTGATACAAGCTTATGGTTGTTTTCATAACACCTATCTTAAGACAGATGCTTCTTTATCGAAGTGCCTTTAATGGATGGCTCTCCCAGATGGGTTCAGGTTTAGTATAATACCTTTTTAGTTACAATAGATCTGTTATTATTGCATTTGCAGCAACCCAGACTAACAAATCCTATTATCGTTATAAGTCGGTAGTTTGCTTTCCGAGCGCTAATCTTCCAGGGAGTTCACTGGAAGACAGTGGTTTGTTTAAATCTGGGTTGAGAGGATAATGTAACCCTTTATATTATCACGCTCCCTGACCCCCAAATACATTTTTCTCTTTTCTTTTCCCTCCAATCAGAGCAATCCTTTTTATGTAAAACCAAGAGTTGCCGTTCACAACTTTGGAGTGAAACACTATGCTGGGGAGGTAATTTTCTTTTCTTTATTTGTTAAAATTATTCCAAGCAGAGTTTTCATTAGCTTAATTTTAGCTTGAGGCTGTTCAGAGTTAACTAAAGCACTCAGTTCCCTCAGCGCTTTTTACAGTACTGCCATTGTGAGAGGTGCAGGATGACTTGGCTTTTTGCTTGAATCTGCACTGTTTCTTACTAGGTCCAGTATGATGTCCGAGGGATCTTGGAGAAGAACAGAGATACTTTCAGAGATGATCTCCTGAACTTGTTGCGTGAAAGCAGGTATGTTTCTATGATTTTGGTTTAAGCCTCATCTTAAGGGGGTGCCGTATCACCTTATTCTGCCAGGGTTTGAGTGCAATAAATGTTGGATAGCATCAGGTCTTAACAGAGTTGAAAGGAGCATAGAAGAAATAGTAGAGCTGCCTGCAAGCAGAACTGACTGTAATCAGTTCTCACTGAAACAGGTTTTTCCACATTGTGTTCCTGTTCACTTCAGAGGGTTGTTAGAAAGTTCAGTTGCTACTCTTCGGTGAATTAGGATATCGAAAACTGGTGGTGATTTTTAACTGCTTCAGGGTGCCTTCATAGGCCATGTGCATGCCTGTTTTCTTACTTCATATACAGTCCAATTTGTTTATATTTCTAGCATTGTCTTTTGAGCTAAAGCTTAGTGATATTGGTAGTGTATGTGTCACTAGTGTACCGCAGTACAAATTGCCGTCTAGTTATGTCATAGAAAGGAGAATTTCTCTAAACAATTTATACTACTGAAAATCTGCTCCTAGTTGTCTTTAGTACTTGTGTGCCTCCTGTCATTCTGCTATATAAGGTCTCATGATCGGTACAGTACCTATGTGAGCTGGAGCAATCATATCCCTTTCTTTACATGTATGATTGAGACTCCAAGGCATATAGAGTTTTCACACCAGAACAGGGAACTGAACCCAGGTGGTCTGCGTTCTTGGCTGCTGCCCTAACCCATCCAGTCATCCTGCCTTGCTGTGAGAGTAGTTTCATTTTAAATCCCTTAAGCCCTTGGATACATGGAAACTATTAATAAATATTTCCATCTGTATGTTGTTAGTTCTGTTTTCATGACATATCTGACATAACATCTGTCAATTGAAGTATGTGGATAAAAGTGGTAAGTGAGTTAAAGCTGCAGGGCCTGATTTTACAATTGCATCAGTCTGTCTGGAGTGACTCCGCTTAAGTTAGAAGACTTACGTTTCTGTAGGAATGGTAGCAGGACGATACAAGATAGGCAGTGTAAAAAACAGCATATATAGGTAGCATCTGAAAGTGAAGCTCATATGGATGGTTATTTTTTGTTATAGTCCAAAGCAAACTGGAAATCTTCTTTTATTTATCTTTATGTAGGTATAGTTCCCATTACAGTCAGCTGGAGTTTCGGTTGAGTGTCTCTCTAGGACTTCACTCTTCATTTCCCTAATGGTATGTGGGAAATGGAGGAAAGAACCTGGATTATCCTTTTTGGTTCCCCTGCATACACTCTGCATAGAAAAAAATTTGTAGTTTAGAAGTCATGAGTGTTTTTTAGACAGAGAGGGGTTGATTGCTAAGGGACAGTGCTTCCGCGGCACTGCACAGTGGTAAACCTTGTGATTTGTTAAGATACGCCTTTGAGACTTTCTTTTTCCTTCCCGTTTCAGTCTTGATTTCATCTATGATCTATTCGAACATGTTTCAAGTCGCAACAATCAAGACACTCTTAAATGTGGAAGCAAGCATCGAAAACCCACTGTCAGCCTACAGTTCAAGGTTAGTTAATGGGTTCTCTCTGCTCTGTAGCTAATCAGCAATAGATAAACTCTGTTCAGTAAAGAACAATTGCAGATTAAAACTTTTAAAACTTCAGCATCAAAACATTGCTGCCTCTTCTAGGAAACTGCAGTTACTAATCGACTATTTGGCCATACTAGCTTCAAGCAGAAACTAACCTTCGTATTACAGCATTTACACAGAACTCCCATTGCTTTGCATTTGCTTCCTTGTCCTTATTTTAAAGATCTTCCATGTAGCTAGTCTCTCTTTTCTCGGTTTTCCTTTCTAATCTAAAACTAACCACAAAATGGCAGAAAGCCCTAAAGCGGTGCCTGTACGCTATGAAAAATAAATATTGAATACATTTCTCATTAAGGTGTTGCCTAGCCTTTTAGCTTAAAGTTTGGAAAGTGTTTTTATTAAACACCTTTTTACGAAGCTTTATAAACCTGCCATCAAAAATGGCACCAAATTGAAATCTAGCATAAAATCTATCTGCAAATTATTTAAAAGAGGAAAGATTGGCACAAAATCTTCTCTAAATTGCAGGAGTACAAGTCTGGATTAGTTGTCTTTCATTTGGCTTAAATTAATGCACATTGCACTGTTCATTCTTTTTTTTTTTAAAGGAGCAAACTTTGAACCCCTTTAGAGCAGATTTTATCCTAATAGACTGTTGCTAACTGTTGGGCAGAGCTGGAAGGAATGTATGGTGGGGTGCACACAGTTGCTTTTAAACACTAATGTTAGTGTTTCCTGGGCAGCTTGCTATAGACTAACATCCCTGGTCTCGCACAATATCCACTACTTGTGATGAGGTGGTGTTATTTGGTAGCTCTCTGGGACAGTATTGGGTACTGTTTCTACGTAGTCATGCATACCTATGAAAAGTAGATCTAAACTGTTACCATGTGAAAGTTGTCTATATTTTTGCTTCCACTTTGCAAGGTGGAACTTAATGTAGAGTAGAGCTCCTTCCGTGCTCCATCAGGGACCGTGGACAGCATAAAGCATGATAAAACATCAAATCAAAACATCGCTGCCTCTTTTCTAAAGCTGCAGTAACGGCTCATTTAACCAGCTGTGCTGCTTCACAAGAGGTTGACCTTCACATCATGTCATCCCCAAAGGATGTGGTTGCTTTCTTTTCCATGTTTTACAGCCTTCCAGGGAGCAGTCTGTCTCGTTTCAGCTTAAGATGGGAAGAATGAAACTGTGAAGGCAAAGTTCTTGCAGTAGATCGATTATTAACTTACTGGTTTTCTTTTGACAACCTTGATTCAGAACGCGCCTTAACGCAATCCTGAGAGGTCACCGTAAAATAGCTGAGGTTGGAAGGGACTGCTGGAGATCACCTGTTTCAGCCTGTTGCTTAAAGCAGGACTAACTTCAAGTTAGCATTGTCATGTGGCATGGACTTAAAGCTGTGCTGCACTGTGCAGAATCTGGCTACCTTTATCCAGAGCTGAATGTGAGAGTAGAATAAATCACTTTTATTTAGAGAGACTGACTTTCCACTTTCTACAAGTAGTAGCACGTGTTGCTAGAAAGCCTGAGAATTGGCTTAGTTCTCCATAGATATTTTAATGTTCACACAGGTTTAATGCAAATGAAGCCTTTATTTTTGAAGCTGTAAATATTTGTCTTTACAGGAGAATATTAGCCTCTGTGTCCTCTCGCCATTTAATATTTGCTGCCCCTGGCTTTGTGTCCTTAAGCTAATGTAGACTAGCAAACCAAAAAACTGAAATTTATATTCCCAGTCACTTCACCGTTTGCTGTCTTCATTGTGAACCAGTTCCTGTGCACAGCCACAACTCTGCCTGATGCCTTTATCACTTCATGTTTAATCATCAGGAAAGCCCTTTGCAGCTTAAAGCAATGTTTTAATGTAATAGACTGCCACCCTCAGTTTTGCTCAAAAACACATGATAGGGCACACATTGCTGCTCCTTTAAAAAGTGAATTTTGTGTCTCCTTGGCAGCTTGCTCTATTTTCTCTCCCCTGCCTGGCACACGGTGCCGCCTTTGAGGGGTGAAACATTAGTGTTGCTGGCTCTCTGCGCTGTTTAGAGTCTGGCTTCTGCTTCTGTGCAGTCATTTATATCTCTGCAAAGTAAACATAAGGTTTCAGTTTACAATGGTATCATACTTAATGATACAGAGTGAGGCAAGCTGGCCTAAGATATGGAATGGTGGCTCAGGAGGGAAAGGGGCGGATATATAATTAAAATAATCAGAGAAGGGCTGCAAGGGATTTTGTGATTTTTATCTCCAGCTTGAGGTTCAGATAACTGATAGTCTAATGTATATTGGGTCATTCAGAGTTCTAAAACTAGGAAGAAAAATGTATATGTTTTTTAACTGAGCCTTATAACCTCCCTTTTTAATTGTTAAATGGAGTTAGTTATAAAACGGAACAACTGTGATACTATTTGGTTAACGCTGTTACAGTCATCTTTCAGTAAGATGTTTTTTGTTACCGCTGTATCCTTTACTCAATTTTTGTTAATTCACGGGGTTTTGTTTGAAAATGTAGTATTGATAAAACAATGGTTGTTATACTTCAAAGTACCTCTTTTTTCTGGGAAAGTTTTAAATTTTTTATGCCCTCATTGGCTTATATTTGTCATTGCAGTGTTCTTTTAGCAAGAAAGATAGGGACTGTAGTGGGGAGAGTAACTTCTTGTGCACAGAATGCAGCTGATTACAGGGAAAATGGAAAATGAGTGGGTGAGGGATGGTTGTAATGAAGTGAAGAAATACATCTTTGCGGTTATTTTAGTTTGACCTTAGTTTTGCTTTAGCCCCCTTATCCTGCCTTGTGACTTGCATGAGTACAGCAATTTGAGAATGTAGCTCCTTAGTCACAGTCACTCAAAAGACGTTTGTAGTAGCAGTTGTGCAGTTTGGTGCTGTTTCCTCATGAGCAGGTTTCTTCATGTCAATCAGTATATCTTGATCTCTGTAAAGGAGTGATGATGGGTGTAATCAATGATGCCAGTGGAGGAAACCAACGGGCGTGTATTTGTTCCCTATGTTCGCTGTATAGCAAGTTTATATATGATTGTAATTCCTAGTGTGAACCACTAGGTGTTGCGGTAGATGTTGTCTGCAGTGCTAAACTGAGAGAGCTTTTCCTGACCGTTTTGGCTTGTACAAGAAGTCCACTTGTAAAGTGCTGTCTTTTTTCCTACTTGCCTTTTAGGAATCGCTTCATTCTTTAATGGCAACACTGAGTTCTTCAAATCCTTTCTTTGTTCGATGCATCAAACCCAACGTGCAGAAGGTAAGATTTAAAATTGCACCTGATTTTTTCTAAATGTTTCAGGCCTAATCTTTCACTGCTGATTTGGTTATTTACTGCTGTGTGAGGCAGGAGGTAGCATTCTGTACTAACTTCATAAAAGGTTCTGCAAGGTGAAGGCCCTGGAAAAAGTTTTTGGATTTTCTGCAGGCTCTTTCTTTGGGTGCCATTTAAATAGTCATTGTTCAGAACTCCCTGATAAATGATCGATTCTAAGGATTTCTGTAAAAGTGAGGTAGAATGCTACACTGTACATTTGACAACTTGGTGAGAGCCTTGCTTTGCAGCCACCGGCTAGCCAAACCCACATGGATGACAGAGCCTTGGCAGGAAGCTGGATCAGTGAGAATACATATGTGGCAAAGTCCCTGATCACTGAGGGACTGCATTTTTGAAACGCCTTTTTTCTTCCCTGTCCCTGTTGCTGCCAGGGAATTCCACAACCCTTATAAAGCCCACCTATTCCCGCTGGATTATAAGAAGGATTTCGATAACTTGCATGTTTCAGTGACTTGCATGTTTTGATAACTTCTCGTATCTGAGTAAGGCTCATCTCCATAGGCCAAAAGTCGCGAGGATTTGCCATGGTTAATACCAGGACCAAGTGCTTCTTGCATTAGATTGCATTTTCATAGTAAGGAAACCACTGAGTTCCCACTCCCATGTTCACTGAAGCTCATGCAGTCATTTCACACTACAGTGGTCCATCCCTTCCAAATTTGGCATATGCTACCGTATCCACGTGTACGTTTTACTAGCATTAAAAAAAAAAAAGTTCGCACAAAATTTGCAGAAACTCTAAAGGAGCTTGATGCAGCCTCAGTCGGCCCTGCCCAATTGTAGGATTGTGTGGAGGAACAGATTGGGAAATTCCCGTATACCGTCCCTTTCAAAGTGTATATAAATTGTCAATGAACTCTTACACAAAAATGTATGTCCTTGCTTTCTTTCTTATTTGGTAAAGCCATCGAATCAAATTAAATTTACAAGCAAACTAAAACAAGAAATCTTATTTGAAGAACTAGATTGATGGTGTACGAGCAGAGAAAAAGGGTCACACGTTTTACCTGTTGTAGTTGGTTCAGTAGAAAACTTAAAAGGGAATGGGAAGGAAAGGCATACGTGTTACTCGTCAATGGCATTTTCACTCAGGGAAACGTTCTCAAAATCCATTTGGGGGATTCACTGTTTAAAATTTGTCTGCTGTGCACAGCTGTCTGTTTCCACCTCTGTTTCACAGACATGGTGTGCTTTTAAGCATCTTTTTGCAGTTTTTAGATGTAAATACAGTTCTGCAGTTAAAAAACAGTATTTGAAATTCAGTGGCAGCAGATTGATGAAACTACCGGATGAAGGAATTGCTAATAATCCTGACTGCAGAAACGGCAAGAAACGAAAGCATGCAAGAAAGGATGCATGAGGATTACTCTGCTTGTAGTCCTCTTTCCTCCTCCAACGCCTTTTTCAGTTCTTATCTTTCTAAGTCAGTTTTGAACGTAGTGGGGTAACCGATACTGGATGTTAGTAACACTGAACATGACCATACTCTTGCATTGAATTTATTGTCAAACTTGTGCAGTTGTTGGAATTACTCCTAGTATATGCTGTTGGTGTAGCAGCAGGCCTGTGAGCTGCATTTAACTCTGCCGTAGCTCAGTCGGATTCTGCTGATGCACAACGCAACTAATGCTTTTATTTACTTATGAAAAGAAAAAGAACTTTCAAATTATATCTACTGCTTGAAAATATTTCTAGCTTACCATTTTACTATTATAATGTTAAACCTTTCATAGTTCATCCTGTCATAGGACCTGTTGCTTTCTGTTTCATTTAGACAAAGGGGAAAAAAGGTGGGTCAGTTCGTATAGCTCTGAACCAGCGCGACTCAGAGACAAGTTGCCTGTGCTCGGACCAGCAGGGATTATCACATATGTGATTCATTCTGCAGGGCTGGATAGAAGCATAGGTGGATGAGCCATCAGAGGAGCTGCTGAAACAGAAAAATGAGGGTTGAAAGTACAATCTTCACTAACCATTGTTTCTGTGTTTTTACTGTCCATAGTTTTAACTCAGCATAATGACTGAGAGTGGTATAGAATGCTAGAATATCACCCTTCAGAAAGTACTTAGCTTAAGCAGCGCGTGCAAAATAACAAATGATGTGAAGGAAAGGGCCATTTTTGATTGCTTTTTTGAAGCATGTCGCATTAAAGGAGATATGGACCGGGGAGACTCTGGGGAGAGCGCAGAAGTTGTGTCATCAGGAGCAAAGCCTCCCAAACTGCTTCTTACCCTCTGGATTGAGCATAAATAGGTGACACACCTATCATTGAGCATCCTTTTAATTCTGGAGGGGAGGAAAAGGTGGTGCCCAAGAGCTATTTTACTTCCTAAGTGTATTTGAATTCTGTAGGTGAATGAGGTTGAACAAATGAAAGACAAATTCAAAGCTTTGCAAAGCAGAACGTACAGCAGACAGTGCTTCCTCTGCTCTTCTAGACATTAAAAGCTTATTCACGTTGGGTAAGAGATATGATAATTTGCAGTAAATATTTGATTTTTAATTGAGCAAAAGTTTAATTTCTAAATATATTACAGTGGCAAGCAAAAACAATTCACCATATGCAGTAAGCTGCTAGACATTTACATATCAAAGCAGAATCTATACTCATTAGAGCAATTTCCTAAAGGGAGCACATAGAGTACGTGACCTTTTGTCACAAGGCATTTCAGCAAACAGGCCTCAAACAGAAGAACAGAGGTCCCATTAATCTTTGGGAGACCCCTACACAATCAGTGTATCTGTTTTCACAGTTTCCAGTCTGTTCTGAGCTAGCCATAAAGTGGAAACTGCTCCACTTGGTATGCTTAATGAGTATTTTCTGCTAATGAAGGATCTTTCTCCTCCCTTCGCCTTAACTTCAATGCAGCATTCAGAACTGTGCATCATTTCATCCTTCTGAACTCTGATGCAACTTTGACTGTTTTTTTTTTCTCAAGTTTCTTTTCCTGCCTGGTAGTCTGTCTGATCTGAAATTTACCCCGAACAGTCTCCAAGTGGCACAAAGCCTTAACAATTTTATTAAAAGCTGGAAGAAACATTCAACTGAATAGTTGTAGAAATGGTTGTAACTTACTTCAAAAAGGCACTGGGATGCTTTTTTTTTTTTTTTTTTAAGGTGCACGAAAAAGGAGGAGGATAGACAGAGAAAGGAAAAAGCAAGGTCTTAATGCAGGGAGGAATCATTAAGATGTGAGCTTTCTGTACTAGCTATTTCAGAGGTAGAAATTCTCCTTTTGGTGAGCCACCCTCAGGGCTCCCTTCTGCAGTTCCTTTCTCCGTTGGACTCTTTCTTTAGAATCTTAATATTGGCACAATTGCTGTGAATGCCCTCCCCCATCCCCTGTGTCTGCCTTTTTGTTGAGCGTAGCCTTATCTGTGCTATTCTCTATTAACATATTGATTATTACAACTTTCTTCTGTAATTCTCGGCTCTTGAAACTTCAACGGGTTCAGAATGCTGCTGTTTTCTCATGCATGTAGCTAGCTACATCTATTTCAGTTTGGTTACTTAAATAGGCCCAGATCTAATACCAGCTTGGTCCTGCTGGGTAAAATCCTGGCTTCATTAGAGTCGGCGTGAACTTTATGATGTTATGATCACTTTTTTGATTTTTGTTTGTCTATTTTTTAAGAATCTTGTGTTGTAGTGTACCAGCTGAACAGAATGTCTGTGCCTCTGCTCACCTCCCTTTCTGCTCCTTTACTGTTGGTCTCGTTCTTCTGTTGCAGTTGTGGTCTTGCCACTGGCAATATAAAAACCTTCTTCTCTGAAGCTTTTGATCTCTGAAAGGGCAATTATGCTTCTCTGCAGTTATTTTTATATTAATTTTTTAATCTTACAATTTAATTCTGTCAGGTACAGAAATGAGACAAAATTAAAGCTGTATATCGTAAACCTACTGCAGGGGAAGGGGTCACAAGGAGTGACAGAAAGAGTAAAACTAGTAATAACTTTGCAATTCAAAGGAAGGCTGGTAGAAATAAGTCTGTAATAGGTTCTGTGAGCCTTATTGCTATTTAGGAGTCCTGTCATCAGGCTGCATATTTATTCTGGGAAAATTACCGTCAAAGCAATGAGATTACTAACATAGCTGCCAGGGACATAGGCAGTTAAAAGGGATCAAGGTATGGCTATTGGCACCTATGATGTACTTTGAGGTATAGGTCATTAGTAGCCGTGACACACCGTGGAGTAGCAAACATGTCCCCTAGTATGAGGTAGGATGCAAACCTATTGTGCTAGGCGTCTGAAATAAAATTGTGCTCTTGAAATAGCCCCGAAGCATTACAAACATGAGCGCAGCATGATAACAACCTAAACGCCAATTAGAAGTATAGCTCCAGAACGCGGTACAAAGGAACAATGGAAGAAGAGCTTGGTCCCCTCTGTAAAGATGATTGTGTATAGGGTGTGGAGCAGCTGCAAATTCAGTGAATGCAGTCTGTGAACTAGTTGTCAAGCTAGAATTACAATATTGTTGTGTTAAGCTTTTGACTGTATGAATTACTGAGTTTGCCTTGTAGAGGGATTTTGAAAGAAACATGCATGAAGACAGTGCAAGTCAAATGACGCTATGTTGGGAACAGTACCGACGTAAAACCTGAAAGAAAGAAGGTAAAGAGACTCCGAGTTTTAAGCATGTTCTGTCGTGCCTTCAACGCAGCGTTACTATGCATTTGGACAAAATCAGGGGAGTCTTTATTTTAAAAAATTATTCTAAATCAAGTGGTCCAGCTTCAAATTTTTACACACATCCTACTACAGTTCTACCGCAAACATGTGCTTTATACACCAGTCCCAGATAGTCAGCAGAGACAGGGTTTGTTAACTGGGAAGTAGATGCTTTTGTGGGCTTTTTAAGTGGCAGAACCCAAAAGTTAAAAGCTAAAAAAGTGTTAGGCCCTAAAAGGAGGTGTC